CTAGGAAATAGGAAATAGGTTTGAAACGACTCATAATGCGCAGATGATAATTGTGCTCCAAGACAAGTGGTGCTGCTGTCCAAATTTGAAATCATCTATGGAAAGTTCCCTTGCAGCACCAGGCCCAGGGCATCTTAGCAATGCAAGTGCTAAGAACCTAGTGTCAGTCCATGTCACTTCATCTGTCATCCCCTAGTTTGTGTAGCCTCAAATTACAGCATCAAGAGCGTTTTGGAAATTTTGTGTCATCAGTCTGAATTTGCTTATGYGTCTTGTCTACTGAATATAACGTTTTAAATAGCAAATTAGTTCAGCCATCCAGAGGAGAGCTCACCCTGTTGTGTTACATGAAGAAGAATATTCTTGAGGTTTTCTTTCTTTTATTTTTGCAGATTGTATATCATGTAATTATTTAGGAGTAAATGCCTCCTACCCTACATGTTGGGTATTTGCTTGGGTTAGTGACAGAAATATCTATGACTAGAGAAAGAGATATCTATGATCAGAAGAAATATTAAATAATGTTCTTAGATGTAGTGCATTAGTCTAGGGAGAAAAAGATCTTCAGCCTACAGGTAAGAAAGCACTCATTTCATATTTCAGAAAAAGAAAAAGGTAATATACTTTATGACTATTTTGTTGCCCTAATTCATTCATATATCTGTAGCTGTGTAGTCATGGGAGTAACTGCTGTCAATGCAGTTAAGAATTCTATTATTCAAAATATTAAATCATGAATCCTATGAATTCTTCCCTTCCTGTCKTCTTTGCTGAAACATGAAATTTAGAAGACGTTTTTTAGAACAGATTTAGAAAAATGTGAAATTCTTCAAGAAACGCAATTTACCTGAGACCTTAGGCTAGAGGCTTTATGAGCCTTTAGGCTAGAAGCATTGCCTTATAAAAAGTGGTTTCCCCAGAGGTATTTTTGCTTGCTTGTTTGCCATTGAGTACCTGCTTCTGTTTGCTTTCGTAGCGCTGTTACGCACAGCAGGCAAGCTATTTGCAGAGCTAAACAGGACCTGCATGCAAAGCTAAATGCAAACAGATCTCAACTGGGAGACAAATCCGGTTCTGCTCATTTTATACCCAAATAACTAAACTCATGCAAGGCAGAGAAGAAGAGAGGGTAATGCCTCTTTCAGAACAGGAACGGTGTCAGGGCAGCGAGAAGCCGTAAGCAGCCAAAATGAGAAATAAGGCAACCAAGTCATTCACTCTGATGTGGGCTAGTTTTTCTCGCTAAAGATGAGAGCACCCAGAAACTTCSTGTTCTAAGAATAAGCGTGTCTAAGAATGCTTTGAATCCAATTTCCATGCGCTAGTGATATAGAAGTTGGAAAATGGGAAGAAATGGGAAAGAAGCTGTTCTAGGAAGTGTGGCCTTTGTAACGATGTTTAAAATAGAGCTTTCAATGATAATTTCAGTGCCAACTGTCAGTCCTTCAAAATACCTGCTACTACTACGTATTTCAAATGAAGTAATTTTACTTTAAAACAAAAAATGACAGTATGAAATAATTCAAGCTGCTATACGCAGAGCAGAGTCAAATTAACCATTTTTTTATCATGATGCATTTACTGAGTGATTATGGATATGCAGGGTTATCTCATTCATCTCCCAAACTCATATTCTCATTACATTTTTCCTTAGCTACRTGAGATCTATGACCTGTGTTAAAATATACAGCAGTTTCTTTACATAACTTGTTTCTCTTTTGGTTTTCAATATATTGAAAGGCAGATGATATACTTCATGCTTCAGATTTATATATATGCGTGTGTGTGTATATAATCATATATATAAATTTACATCATTCATGTGAAGCATAATTGTCAAGTAGAAGTGTAGAGAGGTTATATAAATTTCATAAATGTAATCTGTATGCATTTTCAATAAATCAGCTTGTTTTCCCCAAAATTCAGGCTGGAGKGTGTCTTGACGGAAAAACATCTTTATTTTAGTTGCTGGTGCTCAGAATGTTTTTGSATGTTTTATATGTCTAGCTCTGATAGAAGGTGGGGCGTTGTTCCCACCATGTGGGTACATGTGTCTCCCATTTGCTCTAACATCCACAGGCTTGATATTGGTGCTTCAGGACATTGGAGCATCATTGCATTAGCAAGGGATTTTCTATCAAAACGGGATATGTTGTCTCCTGGGATCCAGCTTTTCCGGAAGCATGCTGAATTTGGCRGGATTTGGCCAAATACAGGTGGGAACTCCACCAGAATTTGTCTGATGTTCCTTTTCTGCTAGAAGAAATGAAGTGTCTGTTTTGAGTTTATTTCTAGCAATTTTATTTGGCATGATTTTTTCGTATCTCTACTTTATTATTTTTAGTATTATTTCATTATAAGAGTGGCTCCTTTTAAAAATAAATTCTTCTTAGAGTGGGAACTGGCTTGGACTTACAAACAGAAAGAAAGAATAAATGAGTCCTATCCCCAAAGCAACTGGGAAAGGCTTGGAGTGAAAATGTTTCCAGCACAACTTCCCACGAATGCTTTCTACTTAGSTGCAGCAGTATTTTCTTCCTCCTCTTACTATTGACTTGAAGAAGAAARCAAACAAACAAAAAAAAATCCACACAAATAAAAACCCTCAAAAATGTAAGAAAATTTTTGAATGTGTAATATTCAATATTACCACACTGTAACCTTATTTTCTTTTCCTCTTACAAATCTGGAGCCATTATAAATAATTCTGGTAACGTGCTAACACTTAAGGCTATGAGGAATAGACAGTGCACAAAATTTTAAGTGTAGTTATGATTCTCSCTGCTAAATTCAGAAAACCTTGCTATAAACCTTTAGTGTCTTTGACGACCAAATTATTACTCTGACATATTAAATGCCTTTGCTCTGATGGATTGTTCTGAAGCCTGAGAACAGGGCCGCCTTTTCCTTTGTGTRTATGTGTTTGATAATGGGTATAATGGCTGTATCTAAATGCTAAATGTTAGGAGTGCAAAAATGTTAGGAATTCTCAATTCTTGAAGAAAGGTGTGCAGTGGATTGTAGAGATCTACTCAGATATCAGGGGCTGGAGTATCCGTTTCTATTGAGTTTCCTACTGTGGTTTTTATGTAGTTATTGGAACAAGAAGTGTTACTGAAATCARGTTTGATGGGCTTGACTTTATTTTTAATTTCTCCTTCTAGTGTGTTTGCAAACTATCAGGAAGAGGAGGTTCCTGCCTGCTACTACCTTGTCCATTCTTTCCCAGTGGCTTGTGAAGGAAAAGGTCAAGRGTGTAGGTGTTTTAAAGGAAAATTTTATGATTGTACATCTCTTTGAAGTATTTTTTCTCCTCAGGTCACAAAAGGGGCAGAACATTTCAGSTTCCTAGCTGCCCTAATAAGCACGACGACTTGATCCTGCCTCGTTCTACCCACGGGAATGTTCCGTTGTGAARATGAGGGTTGGGTTTGGAGCAAGGAGGAGAGGCCGCCTGCTATGTTTCTGAGTAAACGGCATCGTTTCAGTGATCCCGGTCACCGCCTTGGCAGTGACTTTCCCCAGCAGAAATTCCCCAGGGCAGCGGCCGCGCTGCGGGCGGAAGCTGCCGTTTTCCCCAGAAGCATCGTTGCAAAATGAGCGGTCGCTGCGGGACAGCAAAGAGCAGAAACCACATCCTCCTTGTAGCCCAGCCCTGAAACCCTGTTCCTCTGGTGCCTGTTAGTATTGGGCAAAAAAGATGGGGAAAAAGAAAGGGAGAGGTGAGAATAAGAGCTGGGAAATGGAGTAGTTTTAGGGTAATAAATAGCAGTTTTGCACTGTAGGTAGCCCACGTAGGCCGAGGCAGTCTGTGGATCTAAGCACGTATCCAAAGGCAGAAYTTTGGGGCTTTCAGGCGATGTAACGTCTCTTATTGTCTAAACTGAATTAGTTTCCTGATTTGGCTTGATAARTTGAAAGGCACTCCCATGTGGAGAACACGATAGCACGTAGAGGATGGAGCTGAGATCCAAACAGGGCCTTTCCTGGAAAAGCAGAGAAGCTCAAAAACAAATGTGTTGAGGTCGTATCAAATGAAAGCCTTTAATTTTAAAATCTAATTGTTGTCCATTCTATTTAGAATAACTTTCTGTAGTGAAGATTGCTCTTGCCCCRAATGTTGAAACTGTTTTCCTCAAAACTACACAATTTTTCCTTCCTCCACCCCAAAAGAGGCATTGAATCCTCCAGCAGGTTTGCAGCAGATCAGTGTGGGCTTAGGGACACGTTAGGGAYCTGATTCCAGTACAGTTCTGTCATACCTTCCTGCTTTTGATACTGATGTCATGGCTAAATTCTGATTTAAATGCGTAATTTCCTAAAAACATTTCTCTGTTCTCTATTCCTTTCTTCCAAAATGCMCACGTAACTAATGAAATGAGACCTCTCAATGAAGAATTTAAATGAAACAAACATCAAGAACATCGAAGAAAGACATCTTGAAGAAAATTGTTATTAGGAAACATCAATTTATTCTTAATACTAGGAATGTTTGTTAAAAGGCATTGATTATGAAATATTGTCTRTAATTCATTACCTGCCACATTTCAACTTTTTTTCCTGTTCTGCATCAACATATACAACATTTTAAAAATGCTTACAAATTTCAAATAATAAAATGAATGAATTTTTCACAGGAAAAACATTTTTGAGTCTATGCTTCTAAATAAAAAAATCAACAATAAAGCAGTAACCCAGAGCATTTTGGATAAAGAAATGTGAGGACCTTTGAGAAATACAGCAAGCATCAGTGATACTATTCATAGAAGCCTTCTTTATGTCTAAAAATCTAACTAAAATGTCTCAGCAGATTCTATTCTGTTTCTTGAATATTCTCCACCAAGTTTATTAGAGAGAATATGAGTATTGTACTGAAAAATAAGGTGGCAAAGAAGTCTTCGATCTAGTTTATACAGTTACATAAGGAAAATGTGATGTGTCCTGAGTAGCAATCGAAGGTGTTCAAAATCCATAATTCCTTGTCTTGGGTGTTTTCCTCCTTACAAAAAGGGGAGCCACCGTTTCTGGTTCCCATCCTGCTGCTTATTTACTAGCTCCTTATACTCCTCRGACCTGAGAAACCTGGGGAAAGAGTCCTTTGCCATGAGGCTGTAGACCAACCGCTGCGCATCATCGAAGCACCCGAGGGTGGGCTCGGAGATGTTCTGGGAGATGTGATTTCTGGTATGAAAGTCAATATTGATCTGGAGGTCAAAAGGAGGCAGAAAGTGAATTTCAGTGTGATTAGAAAGCTGTGTATCTGACGGTCAGCATTTGAATTTCCTCTGAAAATGCCCTGCCTGAGGCAAATTAGCAGGAAGTTCATGCCTTCATTATCTGGTATACTGAATTCTTAACTTAATTTGGCTATCTAGGTTTAAAGGAATAATATCACTAAAAGAGAAAGGGGGGGGGGGGAAAAGTCTCTTGTTTATTTTGTTTTGTTTTTTTCCCCCAAACCAAATCCTATGAAGAACTGATGACTGAATGGTTGATAAAAGATGTAGGTATTTAGCATTATTTTAGGATTTGGACAGAAATATCTGTAAGTGTTTTGCTTTTAATAGCAAAACTTTCATCTGTGGATTCAGGGATGTACTAATCTCCGTCACTACCAAATGAAAATCATCATATGCGAGCTTGTGAGCGCACATCTGATTGATAATTACAAATTTGTTCCTTGACTGAGTGCTGTAACCAAAATATCTGTAAGCTGGTATCTTAATATTCACATCAAAAGCAAATGCATAAATTGTGATCATTAGTATTCCAATATACTGATATCTATAATGAACACAATTTCCTCCATATTGTGCTATAATTGTAATCAGTAAAAATAAATTATGCTGAAAATGTTTCCTTAAATTTTAAGGTAACATTTCTGAATGTAAGTGGTGCTGGTGGGAAGGATGCCCTGGAAGTACKCGGTGTAACCATGAGATGTCTTTGTTTCACAGCTCCCTACGGCTTTCTCCTCCGCAAACAAAGGATGCGGGAATAGAAGAAAAGCTACCATGAACTTCACTTTTGGTCATTCAGAGAGYTCAGTTCTCAGCTTTCTACTTGATTTCCAACCACAGTGAGTACCCAAAATACCTGTCTGAACTGCTTACCTCCTTTGGAGCATCGGCCTGTATGAAGTCTGAATAAATCTTTTGGGCTTTTRAGACCATTTTAGTGGAGGATTTGGTTTTCTTGAAGTCCTCACAGGCCAGCCAGAACTCAATGTTCTCCTCACTGAAYTCAGAGCGCAGGAATGTTCTAAAAGCCGCCAGACCATCTGGAAAAGGAGAGGCCACGTGGTGGGGCCAGAACAACACAGAAGGTCCATACATGAAGCCTAGTGCAAAGGGGGTCTTGGAGACTCGGGTCTCTGAAAGACTTTGAGGTGACAAAGCAACTGGTGATTTGAGGGTAGCATCTGGTCTAAGATATGCTCTGAAAATTAAGTCATACTGTGTTATGCTAGAGTGTTGCTTCCCAGGGTAAGGGTAGCTTGGCTAAATAGTACTTAGGCCTGCTTTCAAGTAGGGATCAAGTTCTTGATGGAGAGATGGTCTCTTTGATGCTTTGTTTGGCATTCAGTGTGTCTTAAGTTTGGGGAGAGTGTGGAGAAGAAACAGAGAAAAGCTGTTTTGGGAGATTTTTGTTGGTTTTAGAATAATCCCTCATCACTTCAGCTTCATAAAAGAAGTAGTTGATGACCCCGCAAYGTAGCTGGTTTGTCAGGTTGTAGCTAACTGGGCACAACTGGGAGGCAGCCGCAGTCCAGGCCCCAAGTGCCATCAGGAAAATGGTGAAGGTGTAAGGAAGCTTGGACCAGCTACGCATGGTTTGGGGTTTAAGGACAGCGAGTATGAGATCCTGGACGAATGACCCTGGGATTTTTAGAAATGATTGTTYTCTGACTGCAAATCAGTGCAAAAGAAGAAAGAATATTTAAGATTTTTTTTTTCTTTTTTTCCCATGCTTTCACTATTGAAGTGGGTTATCTTTAACATGAATAGAAAAAGAAACTCATTGGAATCTACTCCCCACCCGAAGCATTAAACTTGTTCAGTTATTCCCATTCTGCTTGCACAGCTATCATCACAAGAGTGCTAACCCCTGTAAGTTCAAGTTTGACTTGTGTCCGGCTCTTTTGATTCAAGGGCACTTCAAGACAGTGTTCTTCTTAGCTGAGAAGCAAATAGCACGACTGCTAAATGCATTATTTAAAGTAGGAAAGACAGAATATATTGCACTGAGTTTAATATCTTTGCAGAATACATTGCACTGAGTTTTATCTTTGTAAAATGAAATTTCTTTCTTATTAATCCTATATTTTTTTAATATACTACTTACCTTTATTGGCTAGTAGTGTGTCCACAGACTCAGACCAGGCCATAGTTTCCCTAGTCGCTGACCTGTAGAAACAACATCTATCCTTGAAAATGGCACTGTGATCTTTTGCTGGTGCATGCCATGGTTATTCTACTGTTTGCAACATCCCCACTGTTCCCTTTCCAGCCTCACTGGAGAAGCAGGACAAGTCTTTAAGTGCTACCCTATGTACATATGCAAGGCAACAAAACATATGTCTCAGACTTGTTTAGGGTGGAAAGAACCACGCAGACTCAAAGTAGGTTGCTATTTGACATTGACAGTTTGGTTATTCATCCAGAAAACAGTGTTTATGTTTGCACATGGTTGAGCTGTGATTAAGGCACAGAATGGAAATACTGTGTTCTGGGGTATGTACTGAATTTCTTCACAAATTTAGATGGATTAAACATTAATTTATATGACGCTTCCTGTTTAGAACATATGGAATCCTGTTCCCAATCAAAGAAACCTTACAAATAAACTTGTGTGCAACTTAGTCATTTTTTACTGAAAAAAAATCATGTAAGGGAGGACCTTTATGCCAGCTATTGAACTTAAATACACATGGCARATGGAGGGGTGTATCCTACAGATGTTTGTCAGCATCACCAGTAATGGTTGTCTCTAATTATAAATTTATCAAGAGTTTATGTGATAGTGTCAATGCAAGTACTTAACCACAGGTGCATTTATGATMGTTACTCTAAGATTGTTTCACTGATGCCCCTAAGGTGTAAGTATTATATTATTTTGTAGCTACTTGTTTACATGTTTAATATGAAAATGTTTAAAAGAAATTAATATAAATACACATAGTATATATGCACGCAAAATAATGAAATAATGTAAATGTATTCAATATGCATTGAAAATATGAGTGAAAACCAAAGATAGGTTTAGCTAGTATTTTGTGACATATGAGCAAATGGAATTAATTGGGGAGAGTTTCTTTTAGGAACTTAAGTGAATTTTAAATTTAAAAATAATTTATSAGCTTTTCAGTGAATATTGAAGTTTCCTTGTCAAATGATCAAGGATCAGGAAAGTCTGCTCGTCTTCCACATAAGTAATATTATTTGAATCCTTTAAAGAATGACCGCACAAATCTYTTTGGATTTACTTGAATGGTAGACAGAACTGAGGACTAGGTATCAAAAATCACCTTCACCTGTCCAAAGTCTGACTTGCATTTGTTGAACAGGGCAATCACCAGTGTAGTAGAATGTGTAGAGTAGACCTTGCCAATGAGAAACATCCCGTTAGCTCCTGTGAGACTCTCCATGAGAAGAAGGGGGCTGCAAGGGTTCCTTTGTAACCAGTTGATGATATGTGTTTGAAAAGGAAGTTTGAAGCAAATCCTTGGCCTTGCTTGCCTGCCCGCCACATGTTATTTCTGCAGTGACAGATTAATTAAATAGATGTCAACTATCCAGGATCCCCAAACAGCATCTGAGCTAGATGCTAATTTCAGTAGACCTTGTGAAACAGCTTTTCTTGCTGAATTAATTTATTAACCTAAGAAACCATCTTCATTATGTATATTCCTAAAAGGGTTGCCTTGTACTCACCTGAGTGCAACGTGGGAAAAGGAGCCTCTCTCCCGTAGCTCTTTTGGTTTCCTGCTGTTTCCCCTTAACCAGGTTCAATATCTTATTGTTCTGTTGAATCCATTTGTTATCCAAGCTTGCTTGGATACCTCTGCTTCAGCATAAACTCAGTAGAAAGAAAGGTAATATTCTGTTGGCCCAGACAATTGAAATGGAAGATTTCTTATATGGGGAGAAAACAAAAAGATCTGGGTGCTGCTGGAGTCTTGGTAGCATGAAACTGGCTGTCATATGAGAAGCAAATGCATTTTAATTGCAGCACTATGGAAATGGCTATCCTCTACCTTCCAATAGCACTGCACAGATTTGTAAATTGACTTTACTTTTCTCAAAATATTGTTTTTTCCATATGCATAACTGTGTGTCTTCAGCATGCCACAGAATTGTTTTGCATAAGGAAATGAGCTGTTATTTTCCACCCAAGCAAAATAGGTCCTTCAGGTAAAATGATTTCAAGTTCAGTTTGCCAAAATATTCAACAATATTCTATGAAAGCTCATATAAAAGATTTCCAAATCCAAACCTACGTTAGCAGGGATTTGAAGGGAAAAAAAATCCCAAGAAACTGTGCAACATTGAAGATTGCCACTTACTGATGCTATCAGATTGTTCAGCACAGAGTTAGTGTCCTGGATGAATGAATGGCTATTTATATAGCAACCAGCTTCAAAAGACCTCCTATTTGCACAGAAAACCTTGATTAATGCAAACATATAGGATGTTACTGTGGATTTGTGACTAGTGACAGGTGTGAATATATATATATACATATATATATATATTGCACAAACCCAAGGAGGTAGGAGATGTTTGTGTTACGCCTCAAAAGGCTTTTGAAGCATAATTCCCCATATCATGGGAAGATGGCAACAAGAACATAAATGAGAAATGCAAATTGGGATACAGGGGATAAAAAAAATATAAAAATCTTTGGCATAAAGCTGTATGAAAGCTTACAGGTTGTTTGATTTGAGGCATTTGACTATAATGCAAAAAGGGAGAGCAATCTAGGCTGGGGACCTGAGCAAGGCATAAGTGCATAATAAGTGTATGAAYCAGCAAAGACAGGATGAGGATTTATGTATGTTTTTAGCTGATGTATTTTCATGGTATGCATGGAAAGGAGGAGGAACCGTATTCAGAGAAGTCATTAGTTTAAGGCAGGCTGAACAACTGGGAGTGAAAAGAGGAGAAAGAAATGTCTTTTTTGAGTTGCTTATAAATTGTGGTGAGTAGGGAAGAGACATATTCCTGATAGTCTGTTATTAATGGAAGATGGAAATTTGACCTTATTTTGAGATTCTTCAGGGGAAATTTTCATTGCTCTTATTTCTTACTGTCAGTTCAAAAACTAATCAAGTTACCCTTAACTCGGTGATAAATCCTGAAAGCCAAAAGAAATATCCATACAGTTACAAAGCCCGGTCTCTCCAGCACTAACCWAGAGCAAAAGACAAAAGCTTTGCTAATTCAATGTGTCTGATTAAGTCTAAGTAGGAAACAGGAGACAAACCTATAAAACTGAATGCAGGAAAAGCATCACGGACATTTAATAAATCTGTTCATCTACCAGAATTATGGTAGACCACTGAAAAGGATCCTTGCAATTTTACAGAGAAGAAGAGCAAAAGATAGAATAATGAGGAAATGCAATATTTACTGAAAACCATCCATAGTAATGATAACCRTCTATCTTCTGTTAAGATTGGACTAGACTGAATTTATTCAGCTGTTTCAAGAGATGTAATATACACTGCACCTATTTCATATCCACACTATCAGGACATTACATTTAAATCTGGAGGTTCCGTTTTTGGTTGTATGGTCATTTTAGAATGCATAGGGACTACCAGGTTTTCCTACATTACTTTCCTGCAAATTCTGTGCTTTAGTTTGTGAGTTTTAAAAATGAATTTGCAGGTGGCCATCCTACATATTTTGGTCCCTAAATATAAGTCTATCTTGTGTGTTTTTCTCCATTTATTAACATATTTATGGTTTTACTTGAGTAAACGCTTCATTAACACTTTCTCTGATGTGTATTTTAGAAACTTTTATTTTGAACTAAATCAAAATGTTGCAAAAATGGGTTCTTTAGACTTCTGAAATGTCTGTTTAGAAAAGGCATAGCTATAGCCAGTGTTGTCTCCTCTTGTTCACAGCACTATGGCTCAGCACTCTGTGCATTTGTAACTGATCCTGGAGCTTGATGGAAGTTTTCTTGATGTTGTCTTTGGTGTGTACTATTTGTGACTGACTGATTTGTACTCAATACTACAGCATGGGTTTTGTGTGGCACCAGGTTTCATTACTCAGGCCAGGATCTTCATTCTGCTGTTGTTCACTTTAAACTTCCAAGAAATGGTTCAAAAGGAAAAAAAAAAAAATCAGTTTTTTTAATGTTTACTTGAAGGTCCTAAAAATTTCAGYGAACAATAGCTACCAACTAGGAGAGACTGATGACCTCTCTATTTTGTAAGCAAGCACTCTGGCTTCATTTGTTCCTCACTAAAGGGAGTCTCTTCTTTGCCAGATACTGATGTCACTGCAGCTTATCTGTGTGCATTCTGCCTTCCTCTCGGAGGATTTATCTCGAGTTCCTTCTCACAGCTGTTGCCATGGCATTGCTCTGCTGTGGATCCTGCTACACTCCCTAATTATCTCTGTAAAACACACCCAGAAATAGCTACCAAGAATATCTTGTTTGTTTGTTTTCATTAAAAAGCTCTCAGGAGGGACCGGCCCTGTCTGTAAKAGCGGATGATGGTTTTGAGGAAGGTCTCCTTGGAGATGAGCAAAATTTTCCATATGTGCTGGTGATGGGAAAGGCATCTCCACAGATGTATTTGTTGTCTTATTGTACTTGTATTTACTTTAGTTATTATTACAGATACTTTTAATATGATTTTCTGTTCAGGAAGAAAAATCTTAGTCAAGGTGCTATATTTGCTATTTGTTTCTTGATGGTGAGGGTGGTTTTTCTTTTTTTCMAAAAGAGATACCTCTTTTTTCTTGTTTACTTATCAACAGCAAGAGTGAAGCTGCACATTTTCAGCTGATATGAACAAACATAGTCATACAAGTTGAGAATCTGGCCGCAAAGTTGAATTTTTATGCCAGTGTTCGTAACAGACCTACTCTCAAAGCTAAAAGGAGCCATCAGATAAGGATGTGGCACTTGGCAGGATGTAGTCTGGACAGGTGAACCYGCAGAAAAACACATCAGGTGCAGCAACAGCAGCAAGACTTTGCACACTGAACAGCTTGGTGAATGTGCCTGACTCACAGGCTGGATGTGCTGATGGGCTTGAACAACTGGCCAGGAAGCTAAATGGGAGAACGTCAGCTCGTCTCTCTYTCGGTTTGTGGAAAAGAACTCAGAGTGAAACCCTTGCTGGGAACAATGCCCCGAATAGTGAAACTGTTACTTCTGCTATTTCTGCGGTGTAAGGGTGTTAGGATGACAGGATTGTGCCACGAAGAATGGAAGTCTTTAAGGTAGTCTAGTCTTTTCCTTTAAAAAAGTAATGCAACAGTACTTATATGTATGTGGCGTGCTGTCACCCAGATGTTGCTGGTTTCTAATCAGAAACAGGATTATTTCTAGGAGAGAGGTCTCATGTTTAAGGGACAGAGAAATAGCGAGAAGGGGGACCTAACCCTGGAGAAATGCTTCCAAAGAGCATAAATGATTGAGTTATAAAACCATATACTGACTTCAGCATCAAAAGCAGCATTTCTGTGTGTTCTGCCTTAGCTCCTTACTCTTCCCTGAGCCAAAGGAGCTAAGTGACCAAGGCTTGTGGCCCACAGCACTGGATGGGTTTCCTATCTGCTTCCCAGGCCAGCCTAAGTGCTTGCAAATGCTTGTGATCTCAGGTGTCTGCAGCTCAGCTGCCTTCGCCAGCTTATTATTATATATATAGCTGTGCTCTTTGCCTATAATAACAGCTTTGATTGAAGGAGTAAGGATTTCAGCTCCTCTTGAATTATGAAGGCTCCACTGCACTTCATATTATGTTCACCTGTGTATTAATGATAAACTGACATCCTGACGGGTTTTAAAGGAGATCACTTTGCATTTATTGAAAGTTAGTAAAATGGATACTGAACCCCTCAGACTGAGCTGTTCACATATACTTTGGATTAGCAATAAACATATGAAGTCCCTTCCTCAGGAGCTGTGCCTCTTTGTTTACTGAAAGGTTGAAAAAAAGGAGAAAACTTGAATTCTGTGCAAGATGACTGAATACACAAGGCACAGTTATAACTAAAGCTTGCAGTAACTTGCAAGTTATAACTAAAGCTTGCAATGATTGCAGTAAGTTATATTTAACCAGTGATTAATATTTTAGCAACTACCACATACATCAAGATATCTCTGCATCAATCCAGGAAAAAAAAAAAAGAAAAGAAAAAGACAGGATAACTGCATAGGCTGCCTGCAAAAATGGTTTGCATGATTTGAGTAGTAAAGAAATAAAAGTGGGAATTTTCCCTTCCTCTTGCCATTTCCCCATAGAGCATTTTAAAGATAGAGAGGCCTGAAGGGTGTCATTCCGTAGTCTGAGCTGTTAATTTTCACATTCTCTTTCACAATCACAGGAATTTTAGAATAAAGTTTAATAAGAAAAATAGTATAGCATGAGCACTTACAAAAAATGTGTACATATATTTTATATATCTATATATACATATATGTACATTGGCCTGATGTTTAATGACCCAATGTGTGCTAAAACAGCATTCTTGGCCCCTTCTTTCAAAAAATTAGAATATAGATATTTGATGGCAAAGCTAATTTATACAGCACAATTTAAATACACAAACCAGACCTGTAAGAAGAAAACAGTATAAAATATACCATTAATAAAATTAAATAGATATTCTTATGTTCTTAAATTATGCAATAGCATACATTTTACTTAGGCAGTGGCTGTAGTTAAAATCCTTGTAATTTTATTTTTTGCCTAATTAATGTTACCATGTGCTCTATAGGATGAGAAAATACCACAGAAAGTCTGTGCTTAGTGTAGGAAATACTGCAAATGTACTTCTGTGCAAAGGCTGGGTCTATAGGTTCACACCGTGACAAAACTCTAAATAATACAGGGCCAGGCTATGTGATGGGTATTATCAGCTGGCATTTGAGCAATATTTTTATGTAGGAAAATCAGTGTCTTGAAATATAATTGCAGATTTTGCTTGACTTCAAGGAAAAAAAAATACTGTACAAAGAATTTATCTGCTGTGTCCTGCTTCTTCCTCTATCAGAAATGAGATTATTCACTGAGTACAGAACTCCAATCTGCGTGGGAGTAACCATGCTCAAGACACACATATTTACACCAGCAAAAAAATTAGGATTTTAAGTCATSCATATGACTGCAGTAGCTAAAACACATATGGGCTGTTGTGGGCTTTACCATATGGTAAAGTCTGGTCGCACATCCTGGAAATCATTGACAGTGAAAGATCGGGATCGTCTCCTCATGGCGGGACGACTGGGATTCCTSCCCTGCACCAAGTTCAGATAAGGATCGGATCTCAGGAAGCGTGGGTAGCTGTCTTGCTCCATCAGCTTGTAGACTGTGCTCTGTGCTGCGTCGAAGGTGCTGATGAGGGGCTGCTTGATGCTCTGGCTGGTGACTTCTTTGGTGTGGAAGTCCAGGTTCACCTGGAGAACGGCAAGAAGTGCATTTTTTTTAATGAGCTTTAACACATTTCCTATGTTGAATCTAAGGTATGAGTCTTAAAAATAATCTATGGGAATTACAGGCTGCAATTGCAACATTTTGTGAACATTCTCTTAAAAGGAGGATGAATTCCACTCTTTTACAGGGAAGTACCTGTTAAAATATTAAAGAACGTGTTCTTCATTTCAGTGAGAACTGATCATCTCCCGATCTGTTCATTGCCTTTCTACAACAGGAAAAAGATGTTCCTTTTTCTCATTTATACCATGATTCCTTTAAAATGCATTTTCAGCAATATTAAAAAGGTAAATATAAAGCCTTCTAACCCTACAGAGTAATATATTTATCTTAATATTAATGGAGACTGTCATATTTTACTGTGCTCCCTGTAATGTGCCATGAGTATACTATTAGATTTTGTTCTTGTTAGTCAATCATAAAGAGTGTTTAAGTGTTACAAATAGCCCTCAAAAGGTATGTTTAATTTCTTTTGGTCATTTGGGTTATTTTAAGTTACACAGCCAAGATTCAGAAGCTTTTAATGATTTAATTTATAAATACAGGTTAAGAGAATAAGAGAATTCTTCTACCTTACTGGAAGTAGATTTAAAGGCAGATATGCGATATGTTTTCACAAATACCAGCTGGTATGTGGCATAGCAGCATTAATATTTAGCTTCACTGTATTTCCTYAAATATATTCTGTATATTTAATTACACTTCCTGGCTTTGTAGACCATGCAGAATCTTTGATTCCTATGGCGTAATATTTAAATTCATGCTCTTTCTTCATATGTAATAATACAGAGGGGATGTTAAAAAGGGTCTGGAGGAAAAGTCAAAATATCTGTGCAGTGGCTTCAAGACCTTCCTCTGAACATTTGATATTTGAAGTACAGCCTTCTATGTCGGTGGTAACGTGATTAACTGTTGTTGTCACTGCTTCTGGGCATATACTCCTAAAAGCAGATTGCATCAGATGCAGTTTGTGACAAACACTGTCTATCCTGAAAAATGTGGTGGGGTTTCTATTTTTTTATTATTATTTTTTATTTTTTATTTTTTTTACTGTACCTCTTTTGGTGCATCTTTCTGTATGAACGTTTCATAAATGGTCTTGGCTTTTGGGAGCAGCTCATGTGTCGTTTTGCTTTTCTTGTAATCCTCACAAGCTATCCAGAACTCGATGTTCTCCTCACTGAACTCCGTTTTCAGAAACTTTGTAAAAGCATCCAACCCATCTACAGAAGGGAAAATTGAATTGCATTAAAAACAATACAAAAAAACCCCACATTATTTTACTAGATAGTTACAATCTGTGCAAGGTAACAACATGTGATATATTTCAAAGGGACCACAACTTATTATAGATACCTGTATATAGGTATTAAAAGTGCATTTTTTTCATCAGGATCCTGCCTGATGTGACTTCTGTGAAAGTTTGTGGTAAAAAAAAAAAAAAAAAATACAGCCTCTGCAAAAACCACTACCTAAAGCTTGTGAGCTGACTGCTTGGAAATGCAGGCAATCAAATTCTAGCATTTCTGATTAAGGTGGCCTTGGTTCACTTGGTTGTTCCAAATAGTATTTTATTCTTTGCTCATAATGAGACTCTTCTCCAGTAATAATTCAAAATGAAGGGCTTTTAGCGTCTTTACAATTAGGTTATCCTACTTTTGCCATTAGGTTGCAGATATTTTCTTTCCCAAGTGTTGGAAAGTAATGCAATTGTGTTGCTGCCAGCTGCTCGAGGAATGGATTTGAAAATCATATGGGCTTCAGCACTGTGCCAGAATACTCATTGCTGCTGAATCACACACGTCCAGTGGGAACCCAGTAGCCTATGAATATTCAATATATGTGTTCACATGTTCTACGCGCACTTGATAATTACATTCTAATAACGACCAAGTCCGTTGCTATCACTGTTTTGGAAACCAGCTGTGTCAAAAGCAACCAATAAGAAAACTTAAGGACTCAGCAAATGTTTTCATTTGCAAGGGTCTGGTACTTTAATGTTTGAGCAACATTCAAAACAAAGAGATGGAAGGTATTAAATCTTTATTAGTCATCCTGAGTGATCTCTGGCCAGGGATTGCCTGCTATAGCTCTCATATCTGAGCAAATATATATTATCCTCTCTTATATCTGAGCAAATAGCTTCTGCCTTGGCAAATTTTTAGCTTCAAACATATGGCTAAATATTCTCATCCCCAAGTGTGCTTACCTTTGATCATGTCTCTTGTTAGTTTAAAACTACTGAGATGGTGGTGCTGAAAGGGTTTATCTACCTGAAAGAGGGTATTGATGATACACACCAGAAAGGATGGTCCTAAATCACTCGTCTGGCATCTCCAGACTTTCTTGATCTTCTGAAGTCTACTTAATTTCTCTTATTCTCCCAACAGCAGAATAGTAAAGTAATAGTTAAAAAATAGTATAGCAGTCTTGCTCCAGCATAACCATGAGAAAGGGACATTTGCTAGAAGTAGAAGGCTACTGTTTTCTGCTGTGGGATATTGGGCAGAGGTAAAATGATGGATGAGATAGTAGTCAGTGTATTTCTAGCCATTTTAAATAGCTGTCATTCAGGATTTATGCCAAGAGAGCAGTTAGATCCCCAGAACATCATCATGTTAACTAACAGAAAAACACAGTCTAGAAAAGGCAATTTCATTCACTGCTAATTTCATTGAATAATTTTCTAAGTAATTGGTTGGAAGGCCACTATTGTAATGAATTTTATCCAAGTACTTTCTAAGTATTCCTTCAGGAAGAAAAACTTTGATGTTCATTACAGAGCAGCAGTTTACCTGTGGCCCTCTCTTCTTGGTTATTGAAGGAGTTCTTCAGTGATTTTATGTTCTTTTATTCAATGAAATACTAAACTTAAAAGCTAGGAACAAATCCTTTATTATCAGTATTTGGCAGCATGCTATTGCCCAAACATAAAAGTAGAGCAGAAATTCAAACGGATATAAAAGACAGCACATCATATTAGCAGGCAGGCCTATTTAATTTGCACAGCTGCATTTTATGATTTTCTTTCAAGCACTGATAGTCATCAGGGAGAGGAAAACACTACTAACCTTTCTGGGAAAGCAGTTTGTCAAAAGATTCACCCCATTTAACTGCTTCTTCAGGAGACACACTGTGTAAGAAACAAAAAGTGGTTCTGGTGAAGGGTTTGTGTTTATGCAGCCATTGCAACGTGTTAAGCTGGACTTTTTCACTCTATTTCACACCGTGCAGTAAAGCTGCTGCAGGAATCACCTTATTAATCTTATCGGTTAGGCGCCAAGCTAAGCTTACAAAGGCAGCGTTGCTTGCTAAGACCAACGTCCTCTTGCAGGCATGTGGGTCTGACACTGTGTTACCACAGTCTATTTTTACAGAAATAGGAAGTTCTATAGCGTGAAGACAAAGCTGCAGCAACCCGGCTTGGGCGACGTGCTCACAGGATAACAGCACACACAGGCCAGCTCGTTTACCACACGCACTTGTAAAATGTCATGTTATTTTGGGAGACTGCGCTCTATTTATCCCTTACTTTTGTAAACTGGAACTGAGTTAGGCCTGGAGATTAATTTCATTGTGCGTGGGACTATGCCCCTTTCTAAGCATGAAGGGGAAGGCCACTTCTTAGGTGCCACCTGAATAATAATTTTTAAAAACATTTTTGTTTAAGGGTAGAGTACTGCACATTGGAAGTACTAAAGTCTTCACACAGACARCTTGTTTCAGAGGTCAGTAGCTGAGCTGAAACCCAGGTAGACTTCTTAGGGATTAAATCCTTTCTGAAAATAGTTCTCCCTCTCTAGCTYGGGTTCAAAGTCCCTTTATTGCCTTGTTTCCTCTGGCACATATCTATAGGGAAATAAAGTTTAGGTAATGCAAAATTCCATAGACTTTGGAAAGCAAGAAGGACCCTGGTTTTGTACGAAACCAAAAGAAGGGTTYGTCAGAAGTGCCGTTTCTCTTCTAACTGATGTAACTGCTTATAGGAATGAAGCTTTAGCTACAGAGAGAACCATTCTCAAGGGGTACAACTGCTGCAGAGCTGAAGTTTAAGAAGTGAACATAGGCCCATGAAGTAGGGGACTTCCACAGCCAGGGAAAAAGGACAGCTCACTCCTCAAAGCTATTTTTGAGTTGTATGAAATTTAAAAAGTGCAGTTCTCTGAAGTGTGTGGATTTCTATGGCTGGGAACCATGAGTTCCTCTAGCTGCAAAAATGAATCTGGTAATAGTGAAAGATAAAACCCAGGTCACATATACAGTCTAAAACAGCACTGAATGCTGAAGGGCTCCGTTACTGTTTTGGGAAACTTCTGGGGTGAATTTTTGATTTTCTCTCAAACTAGGTCAACCCAGGACGTGGCGGCAGCAGTGAGCGTGGAAGTGGCAAACAGGCGAGCAAGATCTGTTCCTCTTTGCCGCTTCAAAAAGGTGAGAAAAAAACATGATTAAGTTACAGCTTGGAGGTGTATTCACCATCTGTTCACACTGCTCTTCTGCAGGGTTTCAAAAAATCTGTTTTCTACTTATGCCATTTTTCATGTGTAAAGAATGGAAATCATTAAAACTAAGTAAGATACTAGGCATCCAAAACTGTTATCTGCTTTTGTTACTTGAAAAAGAAACCTTTTTGTTTTTCAGTGAAAGAAATCTAAATTTCTCTATATAGAAAGCACGTATATAGATGAAGTTGGTGCTGGTTTCTCTTCCATACAGCAAGCCCAGCCCAATGCCTGTTAGTCGAGCACCTGGCTGAGACTAACATGTGGTTAAAGGCAGTTGGCTGAGCAAGGAAGTGGTGGCATCTGGTGGAAGAGGGGAATTCTTCAGAACATAATTTATTGCTATTGCATCCCCCTCCTTTGCAAGTGCTTTTACTAGATGATCACAATGTATTGATGCCTGGGTAGTTTACTAACTGCCTACCTACACRTGTCGTGGAGATGGTGCTTCCTCTTTTCAGATTCAGTTTTAGCATGGTTTTACGTGTCTGGAAATTAGATGATGAAAAAGGGTGTTCTCAGGTTTATTTTACCCTTGCTTATAATTGCAAGGTTCTGTATTTGAGAGAGGTGTAAAACTTGAAGTTAAGCTTTCTGTCAACAGCAACACAAAAAAAAAAAAAAAAAAAAAAAAAAAAAGAGAGAGAGAGAAAGGAAGAAAGGAAAGTAGTGAATCCCTCTCTGAAAGTGGAGTGAAGAGCGTGCCAGATCCTGACCGCTCCCTATCATGTGGATGTGCCAGATGGTTTCATATGTGAGCAACAACATAGAGTAACTTATTCAGGTGCACAGATGCAAATGTTYAGATATCAGATTTTTGATTGCTTTTACCTGACTTCCAGAAAGAGTTTAGGCCTCTATGTTTTTTTTAGCATTTATGCATAGTCAGTAAGCGGTTTGTAGCAGCAGTTCTGTAGYTGGGGCAGGCATCTTGGCACCAAAGATAGTAACTACCGGAACAAGTCTGTTAAGTTTAACAGGAAAACAGAAGCACTCAAGTGTTCTCAAGTGGTCCCTAAGGAAAAGACATGAACTGCAGATATTTTAGCCCATGAAGCTGTAGTTCTTTAAGCATTCCTTCTTTTCAGTCAAGTCCTACAAAAGCAATTCCTAGCAGATGAGTGGGATTCTGGCTTCCCAGGGAAGACAAAGGAACGAAGTTCTTAGAGTTCAACACGACCAAGATTTCACCCTACGTCTTTACGGGAAATAGTAACGCGCGGACAATATTACACAATATTTAAATGACTTTTTTTCTTTTTTTTGAGAAAAGACAGTGTTCAATGAATTACTGCAGTCACTATGAATTCAGCATTTGACATGCAGCTGGTGTTTGCACATCAGAAAATTGTTTTCCACAAGACAGTATAAATTCTCTGTAAGAAGTAATGAATTAATTTGAGCACATACCTAATTCTTGTTCAATATTTCCAATGAACTAAAAAATCCTGTTAGTATGATTACAGTTGTTTATGTGTGTGCACATGTATGAACATTTTCATGCAGTTAGAAATGAAAGAATGTGAAGGAAAAGTTACGGGAAAATTATCAATACTTACACACCCCCATACTAATTATTATAATAAAAGTAAGTGGCACACAGACTAGAAGAAAATAAAAGCTTGAATTTGMAGTAGCTTAGAAAAGCACAGGTTATACTGGCACATTTTTCTTCTATTTTTTTCTCTTCCTTTTTTTTCCCCCCTTAGGAAAAAAGAAAAACGTTTGTTGGAGCAGACCAGACATCTTAGCACTGAAAAATTCTCTAAAAACTATGTAATATCTCAAGACCAACTTCTTCATTGCTATGAATCCGGGTGGTAGCCTATGCMTACCACACAAAAACACGAGCGGTGAGTTAAGTTCATGTACAGTGTTTGAATGCTCGGCTTAGCTTGCCAATGCAGGTGGCACCGATTTTAAGAGCATTATTCCGTGCCAAGCCTGCGCGCACACAGACACAGGCTGCAGGAAATGTTCCGAGTCACACAGCAGCTTCCTGAGAGGAATCCCCCGTGTCTGCAGCACTTACCTTGCTGCTTTTTTCAGGTTTGCAGCCTTGCCAAGATGAACGTCTTCGTGGAACTCCGTTTTCTGCAGCAGAAGGCTCAGCCTGTTTCTCTTCTGCTTAGCTCTGCAACAGAGTTCAGGTAGCCTTTAAAGCAATATGCTCAAAGGCTTTTTTTTTTCAAGGAATTACTTTGACTAATCCCTCCCTGTATCTGCATCACAGACTCTYGGCATTCAGTTGCAGTAATATTGATGAATATCATTTCTCCTATGTGTTGATGTGGGAGACTTCTCCTACACAGTAACATTCATGTTAATGAGTTTTTTCCTTATGCATATTACCATGCATTCACATAGGAAGCACTGGCAAAAGGTAATGGATTTTTTTTTAATTTTTATTTATKTTTTTCTTTTAATTTAGGCTTTAAAAAGAGATTTCTCAGAACTTCCTGCTTTCTTGCTGATCACTCAATAGGTTTCATATTACTATTCTTAATAAATATTCCCTCGATTAATTAATATTTTATGTATACAGTTCAGAGACCTGCAATTCATAAATTTTCAGATATGAATCAAAAACAAAAAGAGCAGTGTCCTAAATTCATACCCACCAGCTGCATTAGAAGAATCCTCTATGTACACAGAGCTCTCAAAGTGTCAGCATGACCTCCAAACTTACCCAGGCTTGCTTGCTTTATTTGCCTCTTCTTTATGGGCCGGTTTCATGACTTTGTAGTAGGATTTATCCTTGGAAGCAGAGATGTTTAGCTGCGGGAATAAGAGCAGCGGGCTCTCCATCTTCCTCTAGCAAAGCTTCCTCATTTCTGCAAACGTTTCTTCAACTTCCTTACAGGAGCTGCAGCTGGGGTGCTTGGTGGGATCTCCAAGGTTGTCACATGCTGCTTCTGGCTCAATCGCTGGTCAACCCCAGCGCTGAAAAGTGTCCAGAGCAGGTAGCGAGGAGGAGGAGGAGGTTCCCCAGCTTTGCTTTCGCTCCAGCTGCACGTAGGCAGGCCTTCAAGTCGCGTCTTGTTTATGTGGTCGTCATACAGGGAAGTGAGATGATGGCTCTGCAAAATGGCTGTGGGTCGTCCCCGCGCCGCRGCGGAGAACGGCTCCTGCCTTGACGTGCCTCAAACATGATGTTCTCCTAGGCTTTAGGTTGCTTCCTCCTGAACACCTAGGGGCAGTGAATATGGTCTCTCTAAAATGTGAGTGTTTTTGCACAAATTCCCGTGCAGTGTTGCCCTGAGCTCTTAGCAGAGCTTTCGACTGCCATGAAACTGCCCTCTGCAGTCTCTGGTGCCACATGCAAGTCGTGGGAATCGGTTTTAGTTGCAAAATGCGAACTTGTAGCTCAGAGTTTGAGTCTCCCCGAAGAGCCAGGTGAACATGTGTGTGATCAGATATTTTGTAAATGCAGATCTTAATTTTTACACTATTTATTTTCAGAAGTGATGAGTACCTACATCTAATTTTGAGCTTGGTTTTGTATCGAGGCATGGTTTGCAGTACTGAACAGTGTGTGCATTCACCTTTTATTCACTCCTATGGCACTGCTGAGCACTGTGGTTTTGAAAGCCAGTTTCTTCTGAGAGGTCMCATCCACCAGGCATTCAATAGGAAAGTCATTGATTGGATATCCGCACTAAGGCCACTGATTATTAACCCAGTTTGGCTACTAAATGACCCGATCCAGAGCTGTACAAATTGCTTCTGCATTTTGCCAATATGGAAAGGAATATAGAAAACATTTTATTTGACTTTTCTGCAAGTCATATGATTTTTTTTTCCACCTACTGATGTGTATATAGTATTATCTCTATGTTGATCTATCACAGTTTTATTACCTGGTGATTTTAGTTCTTGAAAAATGCTGTCAGTTGTGGCCTTAGCAGTTCATATAAGCTGATTCAAGAAAGATTTGTAGTGTGGAACTTAATTCATGACTGAATTGCTTTCTGGTGGCCTTACCACAATATCATGTGAGGTACAGACGGAAATGAAACGTTATGTCACCTATTCCAATGCGGAGCCTGTGACGGGTCCTCCCCAGCATAGACTGGAATGGCTTCTCCAATCCTTTTTTAAATGACTCTCAAGCAATGGACTTGGGGTCTTAGATGCCTAAAACTTTACTGTAACATATTGCAATGATAACAGCTATTCTAAATAACAGCAATGTAACGTGCATCTCTTGAGAATTTATTTGCAACTCTTGAAAGGAAACAGAATAATTGCAAGTATTTGCATGCTTTTTTTTTTTTTTACCCATTAGTGAAAGGTAATATCAAATTCAGGCCCATGAAATAGCCAAATTGCATCAAAGTCAGACCGTGTCTTATCAGTGATGGTGCTGGTGCTAATAAGCATTTCTGTTTTCCACTGCAGGCTTCAGTAGTTATAGCAACAGTATTAATGACCCTGTTATGCTCTGGGCTGTCTTGTCTTCTCCAAGATCATTTTCACAAAAGTGAAGAAGGGTTATTTTAAGCTAGAAGCAGCAGGCCAAGAATATTATGCAAGTTGCTGCTGACATAACTAGAGCAATACAAAACTCTAAAGAAATTTATGAAGAGACCCAAATGTGCTAATTCCCAACCTTTTCTCCATCCACTGTACTGTGTTAATAGAGCTTTAGGGAAGGATGCTAACGAGTGCTTCATTTCAGCACTGGAACTCGAGGGCAATCAGTTCTCCCTCGCTAGCAGCCCCTTTGTGTGTTTCTCAAAATTGTTTTTGCTGTTTTCTAGCACAGTATTAGCTTTTCCTCTGTTACATCTGTGCTCGTGTACTCTCAATGTCCAGACTCCTCCACAATGGAGCTCTGCCACTGTTTCCTATTTGGATTCTTTTTTTACCAGCTGCACGGCTTTTAGGGTTACGGCTGTTTTATTTTCTCCTGAAGAAAAGCAATATTCACCTCTATGCCAAACACAAAACAGCATTGCACAATCTCTAATGTCTTGTGAAGAATAAGCATGGAGAGAAACAGCTGAGGAGCATAGACTCATGAAAAGATGTTTCCCCATGTATCTCTTTTTACTACATCAGGAGTTGACATGTTTTGAAAGAATCTTGTTTGGAAAAATAGCTCTGCTGCTCTCCAGAAACATCTCAACAGTTTATCGGTTTTGTCAGCATTTATGTTGTTTATCCATTACTACAAACCATAATTGGACCTAACATTTCATAATGGTATAATCAAACACACAGTTGTTCTGTTTATCTTCAGATTAAAGAAAAAAAACAAAACAAAGAAATAAACAATTTTTTTTTTTTATGGAATAATACCAAAGTGAAAATAATTTCACTGTAAATCTCAAGTTAGAGGTGCTTGTAGTCTGCTAATTCAAGGATTTTCTTTAGTKTCTTCAGAGAGGTGTAGTAACGAAACTAGCATATGGGATACCTCAAAGTCAATGGAAGAGAAGCATTACAATRCCTACACATAGGTCATGTTACAGAACTTTTTCTTCTTGCTGTTTAAAAGGAAGAAAACAAAATTGCATTGCTTCAGATATACATCACTGAGAGCAGCAATGTAATATTTTTCATTTAGGACCCATAAGGAMTCTCAAGGATATGCTAGGCATCTCAGTAGGCTCTTGTAAGACATCCACAGTGAAAACTCATACTTCATATCTCTCGTGTAACCTTTAGTCTTTCTGACGCTCAGACTGGGCTAATGAAAATTGTTTTCTATTTTTATTTATATAGCTTCCTCTAAAAAAGAAGTACAATTGCCAACAGATTGGAATAAACTATATTAATTCAAATGAAATACCGGTCTCTGACTAGGTATGTATAACATACCTAGAAATGAAACATGCAGATTACRGGTAATCATGGAGCACAAAAGCTCTGTTAATGATGGACTTGCCGGCGTTTCTCTTTTCTGGGTTGAAGGTGKAGTGGGCTTTAACTCGAGGTGTTTTTCTGAAATGACAAAGACTTTAAGTCTTTGACCTATTAGCCCAAGTTTATCAGTTATATGTTCATCATATAGATCAAATGTAAGTCACTTTTTATTTATAGGTGCTGCCAATGTGGTCTGCCAATTTCCTCATAAACGGGAGGAAATTTCCTCCTTGCAAATTCCCTCCTTGCAAATGGGAGTTTCAACTGTCCCGTAAATTCCTTGGGAATCTTTAGTTTCTGCACAGCTTCTGCCATGGGAAATGCTTTCTTGAGTGTTCAACTGAATTCATTTATCTAGTCTTCTGAACGGTCAAAATAAGTGAGTGAGTGTGCGGAGTCCTCAGCTGTGTTTGTTTCCTGCCTGCCCCATGGTTATTTGGACTGCGTCTCTGATGGATTCTATTTACGTGTTATATACATCACTGTCATAATTAATCTACAGGAAGCTGATTTCTTGGTTGAACCGCTCTCAGCGTTTACAAGCAGCTTTCCACAAGTGCATAGCAATGACATCAGTTGCTTGTTAAACAACTGCTTTAATGTCTAGCCTGCAGAAATACTCATCCAGRGCTTGTCACAAGGGTATTTCATAATATCCTTAGTGTATTCACAGGAATCTTGAAGGCAGGAATATATGCAAAATCCTGCCCAAAGTACTCTRTTTATTTCTGTCAATCAAGAACTCATAGACATTGTCCATGTGACGATCTGTTCTCCAAGAGAAAGTTTTTCTCAAGCCATATTAACAGTGCAAGAAACAGCACGTGTTGGGCTGCAGGTTTTCTGGCCCTTCTGTGAAAGATGAAGAAAGGAGAGACTATCATCCCATGGGAGAGTAGTGATTTCTGGTCGGCTAAATATTAGCTACAAGATCAAAACCCCTAGGGCAGGAAAAAAAAGAATAAAATCTTGTTTTTTTTGACATCAGGATGGAGTTGATTACCACTGAACTACTGTGTGGTTTAAGCAGAATGCTCAGTATGTATGGTGTGTTTTCACTTGGCTTTTCTGCCCAGATTTTTTGGGGAATATCTCAGGGATGCCCAGGGCACAGCTGACTCCTCTGCACTGCTAGACCTATGGCTAGATCACAAGTTGCTGTGTTTTGTTCATTATTTTTTTCCTTAAGGGATATTGTTCTGATGTCGTGATTTAACTGCTGTAAGTAGTGCTAGGGTTGACAAAGTACCATGGTGGATTGCTCTTTACAGCAGTAACAAAACTGATACAGGAAAGTTTAAAAATGAATGCCTCGGTCATCACAAAAGAAATAATTATACAAATATGTAAATATAGAGAGTTTCAGAGTCAAAAGAAAACAATATTTGAAGCTTTAATGCTACCATTTTTTTTTCTCTTCAACATATTAACTAAGAAAGTTAACCACAAAAATTATATGTAAACTTAGTAATTCCAGGTCATATTTCATGGACTATCAAATCTCCAGCAGGACTGAGGAACTTTCCAGGAAAGTTCACTTGGTTTTGAATATCAAGAATAGGTGTATTCTAAAAGATCAAGAAAAGCTGTATTCTAAAATGAAAGTTGGGGCTGTTTTCTTTATGATCTGAGTGTTGCAATAGTAGTTTCCTTTATCTCCTCCTACTTCTCTTGAGGAAAGGCTGCTTTCAGGGTAGGGACAACCCCCTCACTGCCAGTGTTTGYAGTCAGCCAAAATATCTCCTCTTTTTAGTCAATCCCAGAGTTTCTAACCAAAGGCTTTTAGCTGTTACGTATCAGGGTGACAAGAGTTTCCCCACAATCTACTAGCCACTTTTTTGATCAGTTTTGCAAAACTCTTCTGGAAAGCTTGTTAGTTACCCAGTGCTGTAACATGCAAAGGGCTATGACCTTAATCAGGCTTCAGAAAAAGCCAGGGTACACATTTT